CATCAACTCCGGTAGCTTGTCACTGAAAGAGCCACACAGCTTTTTCTCAGCAAGGGCTCTCCCCCGTCCTGGGATTATCCGCCATTTTTGACAGCATCCCGCCGCCAAGCGAGCATCAAAACCCGCCGTTGCTCGCCATCCGTCTTTGCTAATCACCGATCTCCCTCTCATTATCATCGGAGGACATCAACGTTTTTTCACAGAGCTCAACCTCTGTTTCGCCGGCGTACTACACTGATCGAAATCCAACGGAACCGGCTTCAAAACCATCGTAAAACCAAATTGATTCCAAGATCGTCTTCTCCTCCTCCAATTCCCCAGGAGCATCTCCGCCTCCGGTTACAAGAAGCTTTACCTAGGAAATTGAATTCACTACGGCTTTATTTCATCTCCCCTTTCCCTCTCAAACCTAACAGCGGCTCCGACACCCCTAGCAACGGGTGCCGTCCAGGAAGCGGCTTTGCGCCTCTCGTGATTGGAGTCGGGGAAGTAAAAGAAAATTGAAATTAGGTTCGGTCGGTTTAGAAAGGCCAGGGACTCGAAGAATAGCTAGAGAGGAAGAGTTCGTGGGTGTGCAGGGGTGGGGGAATTGGCAGGGGAAGGAGATCCATGTTTTGGTCTTTTTCTAATTAATTTTTTTTTTGTTTTTTCTAATTAATGGATCATGGCCATAAAAATAAAATAATTAAGACTAAAATTAGTAGTAAATTAGGGGTAATTTGGTCATTTCTTAATCTATTTAACGGTCACTTAACGGAAAATTAGATGGAAGGGTAAACTTGTTACGATTTAATATTAGAGGGGTATGTTTGTGCAAAATTTTAATAGAGGGATACGTTTGTTAATTTGCGAAAGTAGAGGGGTAGAAAATGCTATTAACCCAAAAAGGAAAAGACATATACATACATAAAAAGTTAAGGTTCAAACTCGACACTAAATGTAAATTCTATTATTACTCAAAGTTCAAGAAAACGCTAGGTGTGGCTAACATGCCTAAACGTCACCTAGGTGTGGCTAACCGTTAAATGTAAACATAGCAAAATATCTCATGTTTGTCAAGAATCACAAGTTTACGAATCAATGTTATCGTGTATACCTCTCATTTCTACGCCCTCATCAACAGCACATAGTAAAGTATAAAATATAGTGTAAAGAAATGAGAAAGGAATAAGAAGCCGAAAATAGTGGAGCGAATAGAGAGAGAATAAGCACAAAAAAGAAATAAGAAGCTAATCTAAAAATGGTCGACTCTAACTCTAGCCCAGTGGCTAAGAACACTCGGAGGGGAAGAAGGACAAGACGTGACCGTCTTTATTTCTCTATAACCTAGTGACATATCAAAAGGTAAGTAAAAAAAAAGAGACACTGTGATGTCATTTTGAGACGCAACTCAGTGCTGACTAGGCACCACCAGGCCACAACATACTCAAGACGCCGTGTCCGTTACTTATGGCCAAGGCGAGGCGTTTTCCTTTTGCCTAGTGTCTTGTCCGTTGCTTACTGCATTACTATTCAAAGTAGTAGAAGTCGGATTCATTACTTCGTAAGTTCACAACAAAGTTTGTATGCATCTGGTTTGTAAATGATATAAGAATCATAAGTGAATATGTTCTAGCAACTCGAGTTATTAGGACTAGCTGGTTCTTGACATAATATCAAATTCTTCGATGATTGAAAGATCCTTGTGCTCGAATCCCGATGCATGATCATCCATATTAAGCACTTGATATTTGACCTGTATAAATTTCAAACTCATATAAGTTGGATTTCATTTGAGAAAACGTGTTAATAAATAATATACCTGTACGATCTATAATTTAACATCTCCAAACAATACAATTTATTAGAACTAAGTAAGTACTGACCGGTTCTTCACATCTCAATTTATAACATGGTATGGCGACCCATGTTTTACTGGATGAATAATTCATGGGTGGATCGGAACGGATCCGACCCGTACCCAATACGATTGAGATCGAGCTGATCCCACAATCAGAAAATCTCGTGGCCAATTATTGTGGGTCTAATTTTTAACCTATAATTTCCTGACACGTGGATTTGAAGACACAATGGTGAACATTTTTACCTATAAATAATGGCTCTTTTAGGTAAATTATAAATATGACCTACCTTATCTTTAATTGGCTTTGTCACTAGATAGTACGATATGAATAATCACCTGTGGTAAACAAGGTTACACAGGGTTTTGCACTTGATTCGATCCTCATCTTGGGCTATATTATGTCAATAACGGATCGGTATCCCGGGTTCATGAAAGTTTATTCGTTGTGGGAGATTGTGAGTTCTAGTTATTTGAGTAATTTTTTTTTCTTATAAGTATTTGATCAAGGTTGAATTTATTTATTTATTTCACTTAAAAATCATAGTTGTCGTTTGATTAATCCCACCAACTATATAACCAACTTTCATGACGGGTAATATATAAAACAAAATCTTAATGACGCCATATGATATAATAATATGATTAGTTACTTAATTATAGAGGCCGGTTGCTGTTGCTTATTAGAAGATACAAAGTGAAATTAGTATTATTTCGGAGTTGGATTAGTGCCAAATTAGTTAATGTTAGAAAATAAAAATACATATAGTAGTTAGTCAATTGTATCACTAGGATATCGATCGATTCAATTGTGTAATTTAAAACCACTATTGGTGTATTTGGGTGGTTTTGTTAGGTGGTGCTGGTAGATCAAACCGGTTCCCTTCACAACATTGCTTACCACAAAGATCAGATTGTATATATATCAACACAAAGATTAAACATAACTTAATATCATTATATCATGAATCAATTGGATTGGATCATATAATTACATATATGACCTTTTCTATTATCAATTATAGCTATGAACTTACGATTACAATTTTGAATGAAAGGAAGAAATGAGAAATCAGGAGTTTCAAAAGTTCAACATTTTTTAATAGGTCCGTCTAGCAACTTTTAATTATAAGTCTGGATCTTTCATGTCAAGGGCCTACTCCTAATACGTCCTGATAAGAGGGTATGGTGTTCGAAAACGGCTAAAACTAGAAGCAGTCAGACAAAAACAAAGAGAGAAAGTCATCGACCGATTGATGAATATTTTCAATGAAAGAACGAAAGAAATTAAATGGTCCTGGATAACTCGTATTTGTAGTGGGAATTAATGTGTAACTATAATCCAGCGGATAACTACGACATATTTCCCATGACAAGCAACAACGCATCGCCAGATTTTGAAGTCTAACTTAAATCAAGCAATTTATTCTCCGACCAAAAAGTACCCTCTTTTAGACCCGTGGTCTCGTACATCGAGCTCGAAAAAGCACGAGACTTGCCGCTCGAATCACCTACTAACACACACATATATATCCATGATTGTGTTGTAGTAAACAACATGCCTATGCTCCAGGGGCGGAGCTACATTGAAGCCGGGGTGGGCCCCGGCCCCGAGGACCTTAAGTATATTTAGTACAAAATTTATAAGTAATTTGTTCTGTAAATTTTATCAAGTAATATCTTGTGCTCTAATGGTAGCCAACCTTTACTTGTGCTTAGAGCACATGAGTTTGATTCCCATCTGCCAATTAATTTTGCTCTCCGTCTGCCATTCCCCAAACCAAACAGAGACCTTTTTAATTCCAATTCCCATTTACGTTGGCATTCCCTATCCCCAACTGAAACCTTTCCTATCCCCATAATAATTCCAAGTCCCAACTTGAAATAGATAAACAAATCCTTATTTATTAGCCATCCTAGAAAGGCTAACCCTATTCCGCTAGTTTTGTTGTCTTTCTTCCTCTGCTACAGCCTACAGCATACAACGTGATAGGAAAACAAAGAAAAAAACCATAGAAATAGAGACAATCACAACCTAGTGTGCCATCAAAGGCTGTAGGAGGCTCCGAAGCAGATGTAAGTGGCGGTGACAGAATCTCTCCAACGCTGAGGTTTCATTGTTTTGTTTTTGGCTACAACTTGTTTAGTCTTTTCAAACATTATTCTCCAAATAATAATAGCATCTTATATTTTCAGTGAATATGAAGAGGAAACAAAATACGATTGATTCCTTTTTTAAGAAAAAGGAAGAGATACAAGCTGAAAATCTTTTGCAAAGCGAACAAGAAAAAGATGTGGAAGAAGTAGTAGAAGAAGAGGAGGAGCAAGAAGAAATCCCTAGTTCAAGAGTTAAGGATCCATCTTTTGCTATAGTGGAACGAGATCCGGGTTTGCGAAATCCAATTTGGACATATCCGCATGGCAAACAGGACGAGATTAGGCGAGCATATTTGACATCCGGTCCTCACCGAGTTAAACTTCCAAAATTTCCCAAGACTCGATTTGGTGATCATCTTCGCAGCTTTCAAGCCTCATGGTACAAAGAATTTCCTTGGATTGAATATTCGGAAACAAAAGATGCTGTTTATTGTCTGCCATGTTATCTCTTTACGGAAAAGCCGATCGCTGAATTTGGTTGGGACGTATTTACCAATGGAGGTTTTCGAAATTGGAAAAAGGTTCATGGAAAGGATTGTTCTTTCCAAAAGCATATTGGGGACAAACCGAATTCTCATCATAATAATGTTGTGAGAAAACGTGATGCTTTGCTAGAACCATCTGGGCACATTGACAAAGCGATGGAGAGACAAACCTCTGAAGAAGTGAAGAAGAATATACTTCGTGTGAAATCTTCAATACAGGTTGCTCGTTTGTTAGCGTTGCAAGGGCGTGCTTTTAGAGGCCACGATGAGTCTATTGAGTCAACTAATCGGGCAACTTTATCGAGCATCTTCAATTTTTAGCCGATAACAATGAAGAAATAGATAGTGTGGTGTTAGATAATGCTCCATTGAATGCGAAGTACATATCGCCTGAGATTCAGAAGCAAATTCTGCATGTCTTGGCTAAGAAGGTAAGCACCCATATCTTTGAAGAAGTGGGAGATTCTAAATTTTCAATAATTGTGGATGAGGGAAGTGACGAAAGCAATCATGAACAAATGGTGATTGTTCTTCGCTTCGTTGATGCTAAAGGGTTTATACAAGAGCGCTTCTTTGATATTATTCATGTGGAAGATACAACATCAAAGACTTTGTATTCTGCAATCCGCTCAGCTCTTTCTTTCTATAAGTTCCCAATTCAAAATCTTCGTGGACAAGGATATGATGGTGCTAGTAACATGCGTGGTGAGTGGAATGGATTGCAGGAATTATTTTTGAAGGACTCTCCTCAAGCATATTATGTACACTGTATGGCTCATCGTCTTCAGTTATCATTAGTTGCAGCTGCTAGAGATGTGTTTTGGGTTCATGAGTTTTTCACACACTTGTCAAGCATCGTAACTGCTGTTACTGGATCTTGTAAGCGCCAAGATCAGTTAGAAGCCGCAGAAGCATCCAAAATTGCACTTCAGCTAGCGACATGTGAAATTGAGACAAGAAAAGGTGCTAATCAGGTTAGTACTCTACAAAGACCTAGTGATACTCGTTGGAGTTCACATTTGAGATCTATATCTAATCTTATCAGGTTGTATGGTTCAACTTGCAAAGTTTTAGAGAACATAATGAATGACGGAAGTAGCTCCAAAACTAAATGGGATGCTACTACATCTTTAGAAAGAATGAAGTCTTTTGATTTTGTGTTCAATTTGTTGATGATGAAGAAAATATTGGGCACCACTGATATGCTTTGTGTGGCTTTGCAACGGAAGTCTCAAGACATCCTCAGTGCAATTAGATTGGTGGAATCTACAAAAAAACTCTTGAGCGAAGTTAGGGAGAAAGAGTGGGATTCTTTGCTGGCTGATGTCATTGCATTTTGCAAGAAACATGATATTGAGGCTCTTGATCTTAGTGCTCCATTTTTCAGAGGTCGGTCCATCCGAAAGCGAGATGTTACAAATGAACATCATTACCATTATGATGTATTCAATGCTGCAATTGATGTTCAAATTGCAGAACTAGAGTCAAGGTTTAATGACAGAGTTGTGGAGCTACTGAAGTTGAGCTCAAGTTTGGTTCCTAAAGATGGGTATAAGACGCGTTCGACATTACTGCTATCTGTAAGCTTGCAAAGGAGTATTATCCTCTTGATTTTTCAGAAGAGGAAATGGATACATTAGAGTTCCAGTTGGGGCTTTTTCGATTTGAAATTCCTAATCACTCTTCTTTACAGAAGCTATCGTCTATTTCTGAGTTATGTCAGGGATTAACAGAGACAGGATTATCAAATGACTTCTATCTTGTTGATAGGCTGATTCGTCTTCTCCTGACTCTTCCAGTTTCCACTGCTACAGGTGAACGTGCATTTTCGGCTATGAAGATAGTGAAGAATAGACTGCGAAACAAGATGAATGATGAATTTCTTGCTGATAGTTTAGTTATTTATATTGAAAGAGTGATAGCTAAAAGTTTTAGTTTAGATGCTATTTTGAGTGATTTCAATGATCTCAAAGAACGTCGTGTATTTCTAAAATAATTATAAAATATTATGTTAGTTTTTTATTTAATTATTTTCGGGGGCCCCCTCCCCGGTCTCGAAATCCTGGCTCCGCCCCTGCTATACTCCCAAAGCTATAGGCCTCCTCCCTTTTCCCTTTGGCCAGCTAATAATCCTCTTCAATATTCCCACCGTGTGGAATGTGCATGTGGATGCACAATGAGCAATAACTCTCTACTTTTTTCCTAGTGGTTCTTGAGAGCTAGCTAGCTCCCGATAATGAGAGGACATCGATTCAGTACATTACTGAATTTAGAGGCAGACAAACGAGAGGAGAAATCGGAGATGGAGATTTGATGAATCAGATGTTTGGTCTCTTTTTGGTGGGTTTTGTTAACTAGTGGCTTCTTCTGTTCCATCTCCTCACATGATCTTTAATTACATGCATGCGGATTTGGGATGCAAACAAAATACAATCGTGACTTTGTCCCAATTGATTTGATGTTAAGTAGGCTGCTGGACGTGCGTGAGTTTATGAACAAGCAAGCCGACACATATTAGCCTGCAATGCGACTTTTAGTCACCAGTAGTGTGGTTGGTAAAAGATAGCTTTTCTGTTATGTACTACATATGCGAACCAATATCTTTTGATTACACAATGTGTAAAAGATGGACTTGTATAAACAAAAGAGTCTATCTATGGAATGGAGTTATTCATATTTACACGGGTTTCTCCCTCTTGAACTTTCATTTTTTTCCCCCCCGGAGGTTGAAGAGGCAAAGGGATATTCGGCTGAAGCGAATATACAAAATTAAATAAATTCAATATTTTTCAAAATTCAATCTATTAGAGTAATTTAGTTACGGATAAAATGATCATTGGTGTTTTTCCTCGTACATATATAGGGGCTGATTTGATGCTATTGTTATTTTTTCAAGATGGGATCTACATGCAAATCCGTATGTTTCCAGTTGATCAACTCCCTTCGGAGAATTTTCTTAGCCTAAAAGTCCATCTAATTTATAATCAATGAGTACTCTCTTCCTCTTTCTCTTCCTTTCCTTGTTCAATAATTTTGACACCATCATTACTCTTGTATCCTAACTAGGGGTTCTATGTGCCCCATTTTAGGTGGATGATGGTGCCACCACAGCCAAATACTCATCAAATTTTCAATTATCCACCAGAAAACATGTGATCGGAAATGAGAATTAACTGACATAATCAATTAATCTAGATATATATAATATAACTACTAGGCTTAATTAATCGGGCGATCGATAAACTTTTCATGACAATTAAAGCGTACATTCGATCTCATCTAATAATCATCTCGCAGACGAAAAAATAAACTTTTGATAAACCAATTCATCGATTAGACGATTACCGAGCTAATCAAATCATATTCTTCTGAGTATCTGGGTTGCATGAGGAAAAAAAAATTAATCAGGGATTAATCAAACTTTGGTTGCTTAATTGTTTATCAAAAAGGGCCACCAACATAGAAGAAAGTGTCATGTGACAATGTAGTCCATGTCTTGGACAAACTCATTACATTAGTTGAGTAGGCTAATTGTCATTAACTAACCAGGTAGGTAACCCACGAAGAGAAAAGAGAACATGTGAATGACAAAGAAAGTAAGGGGAATTGGAAAAGGGTGTGGAATATATATGTTAAAATTTAGAAGAGTGGCTATAGTTATATATATGCTTTAGAAATTGGCATCTATCTTCCTCTCCTTCGACTAGAAAGCCATAGATAGATATATAGAAGCAATTCTTTGGGAAAAGGATCCACCCAAGAGAGAGAAAAAACCCCATATATTGTAACTTTAGGGCACACAAAATCTTTCTATACTGTTTTCTTTTCACCTTGCTGGCCCTATCTTTGGAGCCTAATGTTGGAAGCATTATAACCCCACTTAAGGGAGGAAAAATAAGAGGTTAGTTGTAGAATATGAGTTCCTGTCTGCCATCATTTGGTGGGAAGAAATGTAAGCTTCCACCTTGCTGAAAAGGCTCTTCAAAGTAAAAGTGGGTGTGGAGACCAGAAATTGTACAATTAGGTGTATTTGTTTTGAGTTTGGATGGAGTTGGAGGCAGAGAGATTACCAAAGCTGCTTGAATCATTGACGATTAATTTTGGTTTTGGAGGGTTATTGTCAGAATCATAATGGTACGTACGGTCAACAAGAACTTGACTAATTATACAAGTGTTCGATTAGAAATACTGATCATTGAGATTAAGTGATGATCGCCACAAGTTTATAGATAATAAATTAAATTTCTCTCCATGACGAGTTATAGTACTGAGTATCATATGAAGCGATGAATATTGTTTGTAGATTGGAATCTTTTCATGTATAAAGAGTAGATTTCATTTCTTTCTTCTCATATATATTGATCAATTTCCATTTAATTAACCTCCAAAAAACCCAATACCCATCTTAAAAGAGAAATTCCACTCTATACATAACCCATGTAAAAGTAAGAAACAAGTGTATCTTAAAGGGAGGGGGAAAAGGCATATATACTTTGATGATGGTCTTGTCGGCCATGATTCCACCACCTTCTACAAAAACTATATATGGATCTATATGCTAATCAGTAATCACCCTTTAATTTTCTCTTAATTAAAGGTAAATGGGTCATGAAAAGGTTACTTTAATTAGGTTTAGTTAATGTTATCTTGAGAGTACGTACTGTAGGCACGAGGCCACGAACGAATTCTAATAATTTAGGATGATTGTTTGTGATGAACAATTTGTAAAAGGGGATATGTCCCAATTGTGAATTAACACCCAAAAGGTTACCTTAATTAAGAAAATCAGTAGGTTTAAATCAGTGATTACATAGAAATCACTTTTCTTTTGGGCCCCTTGCCCCCTTGGCTTATCAAATTTTTTTGTGGGCCTCCATGTTGGCCTCATTTCTGCAACGGTAACCATATTGAGCTATTGTTTTCCCATGCTTTGGTTTGTATAAGCAAAGCAACATCACATGCATAGGGATTTTGTTGCAATATAGATACTTGGAGAGAGAGAGAGAGAGAGAGAGGAGCCCAAAAATGTCAGATCCGTAGGGCATAAAGCCCAGGGGCCCAGGGCCCAACAGCCAGGCAATTAGGGACGTGACAGCGGAAGTGCAATCAGCATTAATTAATTGTCCATGCATATTATATAAAAAAAATATTGTTCATGCATGCATTTCTCTACATAAACGAACATGTCAATATACCTAACCAAAACCCTCATAAAGAATGAAGCTTACATTAATTGACAAGGCAGATTGGGCTGATTTGAAATCTCGAATGAATTTGAGTCATGGATTTTTGAATACTTCGAATTCACAAATATTAGTTCGTATGCGCAGTTATCAACTCCTCCACGATTTTGAATACTCATGAGAGTACATAAGCTTAAATCTGTAAGCTACGTGAATTTGAAAAGCCCTGTATATATCTCTATAAGTAATAAGATCAAAGTGTTAGCACTCTCTCATCGAGTCGATGGTAATAACTTATTAAGGGTTCGTTTGGAAGTTGCGATTGTGTAATAGATGTATTGTTGAGAATGCATGTATAATATTATACATGTATTGTCGAATTTGATGCATTGTAGAATACAACGTTTGGTATGTGTGATTGTGTATGTCGCATCAGCTAAAAGCTGAGACAAAACAATCTCAACTCAACTATCTCAACAATCACAACTAAAAGTTGAGATATAACAATCACTCAAAATGAGTGATAGTTTCTGCACATCACAGAAACAATCCATGTATTGTTTCTGCTAAAAAAACAAAAAAAACGATGCATTGTAAACAATACATGCATAATGACAATCTCAACAAAACTATCGCAACTTCCAAACGACCCCTAAGTAATTCACAATAGTAGAAGCCATGAGAAGAAAAGCTGGTGGGCGGCGGTAGTGGTGATGGTAGTGGTAATAGCGGTGGTGGAAATACAGCTTTCACTTACTACTGCTACTGTACCCAACATTCCTTGCATAAAAAAGCACCTATCTTTTTACTCAAAGACAGACACCAAAACGTGTAATCATTGAACTGGTTGGGATGGTGGTGGTTTGATTGCAGATCCTCGTGGGCACTAATTGATGGCACGAACGAATTCAAGTATTCTATCATTGCCGCCGGACGACCATCATTCACAACTCTCATTTAGAGAAAATGAAAAATAACAAAGAGGAAAAAATTGAAGAAGTTTGCTTAACACGAATATGAATATGCAAGACGATGGTATGAGATTGTATATAATCGTAAACAAATCTCTTTAATTAAAGAAACTCCTGGTGCGTCTAAAGTCTTGGCCGGCCATCTCATGTCTGATGATTGTTGCATATGTCCCGGACAATATTTGCGTTGCCACAAACAATCGTTTCGATTCATTCTACTCCTTCTCCTACGCTCATGAAGAGCTAGGAGTTCCACCACGAATGGATAAGTAAACACAATCATGTATACTGGACCGTTCCTGTAACAGATGCTTCAGTCTTCACCAGTCTCGTCCTGCCGGTTGTAACAAACTCATTATTATCATTTGAAAGGAGAAGTAAGATACAAATTGGATCACCCTAAATAAGAGGAACATAACACTATCAAGAATTCATAATACTATATATGAATCCTAAGAAGAAGAAAAGAACCAACCCCTCAAATAT